TGTATATCATCCCACCGCAGGTGACCGATCAGCTAGGCGGTGGCTTGTTGCTGGCGGTGGGGAAGAGAGTGAGATCGACCCTTAGCTCATTTTTCCTCACTATAAGCGATCTGATGCCGTTGAAGCTAAAAGCAATGACTTGGAGGGTTGCCAAATGACGGCATAACTTGGACACTGCATTCGGCCCAGTGTGTCTTGTTGTGTGGAGCGGCTTACTGCGGGCTGAGAGTTAGGCTACAATGGCTCCTTCTTAATTTGGCCTCTATGGCGCTCCCACGCGAGAGCCTATCTAGCAAGGTGGTGTAGTTGTGACGCGTTTTGGAGTGTGAGTCGCGCACACCGCCTGCGCCCTCCCCCATCTCTGGTTTTCTCGACTTTTGTCTTGACATCGAGTTGAGGTGTTGGAGTGTTCAGAGAGTGAGGTAGATCCGGCGAGTCTACCTTTACCATAATTCAGCTAAAGTCACCGCGTCTGCCTTCAGCTTGCTGAAGCTCGTGGTGGACATCGTCGAGAGCGACGGTCGAATTGTTGTGTCAATAAGATTCATTTTCAGAATTAGGACTGGTGCGGGCGCAATACTGATACGTCTGCTGGCTTTGTGTGAACAAGGTTGAAGATTATAAATGTGCTATCGTAAGATAAAAAGCGAGTAAATGTAAGTGATCATGAAGGCGCCGACCCTACCTGAATGGTGGACATGGAGTGGTAGTGCTGTCGTCGTTGCATTTGCTGCTGATGGAGATCACTGGATGAACCGACTTGGATGCGACTTCGACTCGTCTTCTGTTGTCTGAGCAACTGCTCCTGCTGTTCGGACTCCATACGCAGACGCTCGCGGCGAGCCGAATAACCCGGCGACTTCATCTGCCGGTTCGTGTTGCTGGTGGTCGTCGTGTAGGAGCGCACTGTCGGGTAGCCTAGTGGGCTGTGCATCTCTGTTTAGACAAGAAGAAAACAGAGTTGGGGAACATTTAAACGATGTAACTCCATAAACTTAATAAAGTTAGGTAAGAAGGAGTAGAGATCAGGAAAGGAGGAATAAAAAGTTGAAAGAAGATAAAAAAGAGAGAGCAAGAGGAACCAGAAGACAACAAATGGGAGCAGGAAAAGAGTTCAGGAGAACGTGAAATTTCAAGGCCATTCCCACTTGAGAAGGACGAAGGTGCGGTCGATATAACGCACCCAAAATATCGGCCTGCAGGTAGCGAACACCAGCGCTTCCATCCTCTGACAGACCGCTTGAGCGATGAAACCGGATAGCGGTGGTCCCATCGGTGTACCTTTGATTTGCTCGTACGCGGTTTGAGGCCCCCTTTGAGGTGTTTTGGTTCCCTCGGTATATTTGCTGTCAAGTAGGTCACTTACAATTTCGATGGGCAGGCTCTATGGGATGAGGTGAATACTCACTTATCATCGAATGATATCATGGCCTCATGTGCCTCCAGGTGTAAACCATTGAGTCTTCCCAGAAACTCCATAGATGAGCAGACTGTCGTATAGGAGGAGCCCGAGGTAAGAGACTTCAAGCATCGGAACATCCATTTGGCCAAGGTAAATGCGGTTGTGCCGCACAATTGGACAAAGTAGAGCACCATCTTTGTGAACTTCGGGTAAACCATAGAGCCTTGTCCTAGCCTTATCGATCGTTTCGGTGGCCAGTCTTTCAGCTCTAGTCATGGCACCATTATACTGTAACACGATAAGCATGATGTTTATTTGCGTCACCAGTTTCTTCATAGGGACCCCTCCTCATCTGAGGTATGTGTATACACACATTAACAATGGTAGAGGAGTCCGCCCTAGTCTTTGTTGATAACTTTTTGCTGCATGTACATCTATATAGCTATATGCATGCGTGCATTAAATATGCACGAAAATCATTGAAAGGCAAATAGGCTTGCCTTTTTCTTGAAAATTACCAGCTACCAACGTAATTTGAACTTCTGAGAAAGCACCTCTTGCCAGTTGCATATTTATCACCTTTTTGCTACTTTTGTATGATACCTAAAGTGCACTCTAGTTAATTTATTATTAGCATTTATTGGTTCCATTGTATTGAAATACGAGCATCCCAAGATATTTGATGAAAAAGAGAAGGGCCAGGTGGCCATGCACACACTGGAAACTAGTCACAATTTCGCGTGGGAGAACACCCGGATTGTCGGCACTTGGCCAACCAAAAAAGATCGTGAATTCCTGGAGACAATGCACTCAGATGAGACATGCATCAACAGGCATATCGATTTGGACACCAGCTATAAGTACCTCAAGGCCAAAGTTCAACGCGCGCGAACAACCACGGTGTGATGGTGAAATGCATGTAACGCCCATTGGTGCAGACTCACATAAACCAGAGTTGCCAATCGGTCCTCACGTCAGATGATTATTAATTTTTCTGTACGTCTGAATTTTTCAATTGTTTGTTGCACAGTTTCTCAAGTCTGAAGACGAGCTGGGGAACCAGTCTCGCAAATTTATGCAGTAAAGATCCAGCTTTCCCAAAGAACCCCTTCTCTTCTTTATTATTATTATTATTATTATTATTATTATCATTATCATCATTATTACTCTTTCGTAGTTTCTGATACTGGGTGCTTGTACGGCTCCGAACGGCGAAAGGGATATTTTTGCTGCCTCTTCTCAGAGATGGAGCCTTTCTCCCCTGACTGCATGAAGAACGTGGGATTGCGGTTAAATGGCAGTTACACACACCAACACAAACACAAGGCAGTAGCAGCACTTTTCTCAGGGAACCACAGCAGACGCGTCTCCATCGCATTCCCACCCCCCTCACGGCGGCCAAGGTCTGCTACACCAAACCTCCCTACGGTGGATCCATCTCTCCTCCTCCTCTCCATCTGTGTTTTTGATGAAAAAGCAGCCCCTCCCGACCATGCTCCTCCTCCTCCTCGCCGGGCCTCCGGATCCAACAAGGGCTACTAGCCAGCCAGCACTTCTCTCAGTCCTAATCCTGCCTTTTGCAGTCAGTCCCAACAGCTAGAAAGGCATGCAAAGCAAAAGAGAAAACCCCTGCGCACATTTAAAGTGCACAGCTGGCCCGCAGATGGGTCAGCAGCAGCATCACGTGACCTCACCATCACCACCTGCCAGACTCGTGCCAGGTAACTTGTGTGTGAGAACCGATCTCTTGGACTTTTGCAGCGCAAAACAGCGCCAACATTCGAAATAAGTTAACACTTAAACAGGCATGTACGGCCAGGATTTATTGGTTCCAGTAAATTTCCTGACGACTTATCAACGAAGACAACGTGTATTTGCGTAACATGTATAATTCAGTTGGCCAAATTGTGCAAAACTCGCCGCCTCAGTGGGAGTCGAACCCACATAGCAGGGAGCTATTGAGCTACGAGGCTCATCGTAAGCCGTGAATTTAATCACACTTGGATTGATTTATCCGCCACAGCTCACGGTGTGGCGTCGTAGCTCAGTCGTAGAGCGTTAGCTGCACAAAAGCCTTCCCTGCTGTGTGGGCTCGGCTCCCACCGAGGCCACGAGTTTTTCACAACTGGATCAACAGAATTAGTCCAATCTGCCAAACCCCCTACTAACATGGATAACGAATGGGAGCACACAGCAAGTTTAATTTACACAGAAGTTCAAGATATAACATAAAAGGTCATGTTTAAGTGCAAAGAATGATTAGATGAAATGCGTTACCTTAAAGCATCATATAGGAAAAAACGAAGTAAGAAGGAGGGAGTTTACACTACCCGCAGTCGCGAATAAGTCTAGGCATGAGATTAGCAGAATAATTTGAAAGTGACCACATAGTCTGGCTCCTTGGATAGGTTGGGCTTCTAGGCTAGGTTTTGTAAGGCTAGGCAAATCGGTTCTTGTATCTCCTTTCCGAAGAGAGTTAATGGTACGATCCCCTTCGCACGGTGTTTCTGCGGTTAGTATCAAAGTGGCCATATTTTACTATATTTTTTTTAACTAGAGACCTGCATGCAAGCGAAGTGATTGGTCCATTTGGAGCAAATCGACCAGATTTTGGGACTGCCTGAATACCGAAAAACCAAAATAGTTGCATCGTCGGATAACTGGGCTGGTCCGTGAAAATTGCCTCCAAAGCAGTATGTTCCTAATATTATATGTCAAGGCCAAATCTGAAAATTGCCTTTTTCCTGTTAAATGCTAATGAACCCTGGAGCATTATCTTCTCAGCTTAAAAATTCGTTTGAATCGATTTTTTTAAAGACGCAGTATGCAGTGTGAGTTACCAACGTTTTCTATCACCTGAACGCGGGTTGCCCAAAACCTTCTGATTTCGATTATGCCAGTTGTGGTGCAACTGTAGAAAGTTAGTAAAGGATTTGATGTGATGTTTCCAAAAGATACAGTTTACAGGCCAGGTTTTAATAGTACCTTGTTCCATAAAGGCAGCTAGTTAGCCCTGTTTCAGAAAATAGAACAAAGACTCAGCCTTGTTGAAATACACCAATGATAGTTGACTTTTAAATTAGTCATATCTAATAGCATGACTCAGTCGCTCAAAGTGTTTTAAGAAGCAACGAGGTATCACCCAAAAGGCTGCTAAAGGCTGCCAAACTCCTAATAATTTTTAAAATTGTTATACGTTCCTAGAACAAAACCAAGTAGCGAGCATGCAGTTTGAAAAAAAAACACAAAAATCCTGCTTCTTTTGGCTCATTCTTACATTCCTTTGCGACTTCGCATGCAGATTGGAGACAAAATAAGATTCATTCGTTTGCAGAATTTGTCAGACAGTACTTTCGATGGTGCTGCTCTTTGTAGAAAACAATCCATCAAAAGCGTAGTGGCAGGTTTCAGTATTAAATTCATTTTTAAGATTAGGGCAACTGTCAAAAGCCTTTACGACATAACTGTCACCCTTACGGTATGTCAAAAGACAAGGAAACTGGGTTTTGGCGAAATGTTGAGTCGGTAGGAGATAACCAACGAGGCTTATGTGGACTGCATTTCTGTTGGACCTGGCGTCTGTCATTTTTTGCTTTTCCTATGGAGAAAGGTTGTCTTGACAACGCCACTGAGCATTTAATAACAGCATGGTAGAAAGGAATTAAGGCTGTCAAATAGATCACTATAAACAGACTTGACTAGAAAAATTTGCTACAACTTTATCTTTTCAGAGAACATTTGAATCGAACTCTAGAGAAGAAAAAAACAGCAGGGGTCAGTGCGGCTATGTGTTTTCACATTTTAATCTATATCGCAAAGATATCCGCAATATACATCTCTTTTTTCAATGACTGAAGCACTTCTGAGCTCTCATGAAGTACTCTTAAGTCCTACTGGGAACCCTCTTCCTGCAAATATTCACTCTTTTTAGGCTATTATTAATTTGTTCTACTGAAAAGTCGATTACTGTAATCAGAACCACACCCAATTCTTTTGTTTACCATGCTCCATCCTTACTTTAAACATTAGGCTTCGCTTGCCAGTTTCCAGGCTGGCATTTTGAGGTTTCAGTCCTCGCTACTCTCCCCTTCAAAGGGCTTAGCACGATTGAACTGCCCAATAAAATAACTCCATAAAAGGTTTCTTTTGGACGAGCACTTCTCAAAATTCCTCACTATCCTAATACAAATCTTAACTTCCATCTTCGGAAAGTTGTGTACAGGCTCACAAGTAATATGTGTAGAAGACTAGTTTCATGATTCCACCTTCAAGGTTAATGTCGTGTTTTCTCTTAAACACAATGCGAGAGTATTTTTGTTTCTACTTTCTGATTTTGCCGGCAGTGCTTCAGGTCGTGGTACCTAAAGGGTCTAAACAAAGGCCGCTTGGCTGGAAAAAAGTGAATCGGTTGGCTACCTTCTTGCGCTGACAGCAAAATAAAAAGCAAAAATACAACTGTAACTCCCACGGTCATGCAGCAAATAGATTCGAAAACATCATACGTGAAACTCACCAGAAGCAGCCCAATCGCGATAAGACCAGCCCTGTGAGTTCACCATGTTCGTTGTACTGAGTGCTCGTTTAGGCAGACCTGAGGATGTCCCGAAACCTGAATCTGGGAAAATAAACAGGGGCACGTGTCAGAGAGGCACTCAGTGTTCGTGTTATGGGACACACACTCGTTCCGTTATGCCTTGGGGCTCAATCTGAGTCCCGCCAACAGCAGCTAGTACATTATAGGCCGAATTATATTATCAACAAATGACAAGGCAGACTCAAATGATCAGTTCTGGTTTAGTAGCTGTCATCAGCCAACCATCCCCCCTCCTAGGTGCTGCAACACTTGAGGACCGAACCCGCAACCTAGATGATAGAAATACAATGACATTTAAGTCTCCTTTGGCTTAGTCGATAATGTAATTCTGTCTCCAGCAGTTTGGGAGAGGCCATCCTTCACACATGTCAGCAGTGGCCTGTATTTTGCAAGTCAAATGAGATCTCCAAGGAAGCAACAAACTTTATTTCGCAAATCTTCGACGATAGTTCTTGGCTCGTTGTCAGACCTGTATCAAACTTTTGAAAATTAACGATTATTTTCGTTTGGGCAAAAGACGAAAAAATCAGCACGCTCGCTACAAAGTCACGCATAAGTTAGCGGATAATTTAATTTAATTATCTTTGAATTATAGTTGCCATAGCTTTCGCACCTGCATGCGATCGGAAAACTTATTCAGTGCCAAATGTACAAGTTGTTGGATAGAATTGCGAAATTAGGTCTCCGTTTAAATACAAACATTCACAAATTGCACGCCCGAGGGACTTGCTATTGACTACCG